TGAACACCCATTCATGATAAAAACTCCCAGTAAACTACAGAGAGAATCATTCTCAACTTGAAAGAAAAAAAAAAAAAAAAAAAAAAAAAAAACCTATAGTTCTATAGTTAACATCATACTTAATGGTAAGAAGCTAGAAGCCTTTCCACTAAGATCAGGAATAAAGCAAGGATGTCTCCTCTCACCACTACTTTTTGACTTCATACTATAAGTCCTAGCTAATGCAATAGGACAAGAAAAGGAAATAAAATGTATACAGGTTGGGAAGAAATAAAAACCATCTTTGTTTGCAGGTGACATGATCTTTTTATGCAGAAAATCCAAAAGAATTGACAAAAAAAAAAAAAAAAAAAAAAAATTCCTGGACCTAATAAATGATTATAGAAAGATGACAGGATACATGTTTATTATATAAAAGTTAACTGCTTTCCTATACACCAGCAATGAACAAGTAGAATTTGAAATTTAAAACAATGCTATCTACATTAACATTCCCATATATGAAATAAGTTAGGTATAAATCCAACAAAATATATGTAACATCTATATAAAGGAAAACTACAAAACTCTGAGAAAGAAATAAAATTTAAAAAAAACAAACAAACAGATATTTAATGTTCATGGATAGGAAGACTCAACACTGTCAAAATGTCATTTCTTCCCAAATTCACCTATGTATTCAATTTAATACCAACCAAAACCCCAGCAAGTTCTGGATACTAACAAACTGATTCTAAAGATTACAAAGGCTGGGCTTGGTGGCTCATGCCTGTAATCCCAGCACTTTAGGAGGCAGAGGCAGATGGATCATTTGAAATAATCAGAAGTTCAAGACCAGCATGGCCAACATGGTGAGAAAAATCTAGAGGGTACAAGATCAACACACAAAAATCAGGTGTTTCTTAACACCAGCAACAAACAATCCAAAATGTAAATTAAGGAAACAATTCAATTTACATCAGCATCTAAAAACTACAGTACTTGGTAATAAATCTAATCATGGAGGTGAAAGACATACTGAAAACTACAAAACACTTTCGAAAGACCTAAAGACATAAACGAATGGAGAGACATCCTGCGTGTTCATGAAGATGAAGACTTAACATTGTTATCAGTACTACCCAAAGTGACCTGTAGATTCAACAAAATCCCTCTCAAAATTTCAAGAAAGTTTTCCAAAGAAATGAAAAAACTGATCCTTAAATTCATATGGAATTGCAAAGGGCCTCAGCCAAAGCAATCTTGAAAAAGAATTAAGTTGGAGGACTAACACTGCCCAATGTCCTACAAAGATATAGTAATTAGAGATGTGTGGCACTGTCAGAAAGACAGACAAATAGAACAATAGGGTAGAATAGAGAACACAGCAATAAACCCTCACATCCATGGTAAATTGATTTCTGACAAAAGTGCCAAGACCATTCCATGAAGAACAACCTTTTTAATAAATGGTGCTGAGAAAATTTAATACCCACATGCAAAAGAATGATGTTAGTGAGACCCTCATCAAACACCATATATAAAAACAAACTCAAAACAAATCAACAATCTTTTTTCTCTCCCCTTTTTGCTTTTTCTTTCACAAAGACACAGAACAACAATCTAAACTTAAGAGCTAACTCTATAAAACTCTTAGACGAAACCAGGAAAATCTTCATGATATTGAATTAGACAACAATTTCATTGATATGGCAACAAAAGCACAGGTAGCAACACAAAAAATAGACCACACTACATCGTAATTTAACATTTTTGGACGTGAAAGGACAATGTCAAGAAAGTAAAAGACAACCTACAGAATGGGAGAAAATTTTGCAATTGATACATCTGGTAAGGAATTAATATCCAGAAAACATAAAGCAGAATAACCAGAAATTCTCGAATCACTTGAAAATTAAACTTCCTACTGCTCAATAACAAGAAGTTCTCCAATCACTTGAAAATTAAACTCCCTACTGCTACAATTCAACAACAACAACAAAACAACTCAATTAAAAAGTGGGCAAAGGCCTTAAATGAACATTTCCTCAAGGAAGACATACAATAACCAATAAGCACATGAAAAGGTGATCACTAGTCATCAGGGAAATGCAAATCAAAACCGCAATGAGATACTACTTCATACTCATTAGGTTAACTATAATTTAAAAAGGGAAAGCCGGGCAAGGTGGCTCATGCTTGTAATCCCAGCACTTTGGGAGGCCAAAGCGGATCACCTGAGGCTGGGAGTTCGAGACCTGACCAAAATGATGAAAGCCTGTCTACTAAAAATACAAAAATGCAGCCGGGCATGGTGGTGTTGTATTTGACCGAGTGTAGAAAGTTATCACAAGACAAAAGTATGCCAGATTGCAGGGTCATTTATTATGCCGGCGACCACAGAGGACTCACGTCTCTCCAACCTGTGGTGGCAACAGGAGGGTGCCACGATTTTTTATACCCGAAAAACCACCTTGGGAGTGGGGGTGAGGGGCGGGGATGGGGATGAAAAGGTTTCGGACATTCCGAGGGCTAGTGGATTCTGTAAATTACCTCCTGGGCAGAGATGAGGGTGGGGGTCTCCGGACATTCCAAGTGCCAGGGGACTTTTGTCATTCCGTTTGTTACTTAAGTGGTTTACAGAAGTCAAGATAAACATTTGTTTACACATTATCTGGTTAAGGTGGAAATCACAGACCTTAGTTACTTATTACAAGTCACAGGAGCCAGGATGGAACTAGCTTGGGCTGCTTAGTCTGGCAATTGCCGGTAAGCAAAGGCTAGCAATTCTGGCAGTTACTGATAAGAACAGGTAAGCAGCTTTACATAGTTTTGAAGAACAAACTGGCAGTTCTATTTACAGAGACCAAGGACAGTAGTTATTGTGAGGAGAATGGGGCAGCCATTTCAACTTATCTAAAAACAGTTTTGCATTTTATAAAATAGTTTTGCTCCGGTTCTGGCTCTAGGCCAGCACAATATCACAGTGGTACATGCCTGTAATCCCAGCTACTTGGGAGGCTGAGGCAGGAGAATCACTGGAACGGGGGAGGTGGAGGTTGCAGTGAGCCAAGATCATGCCATTGCACTCCAGCCTGGGCAACAAGAGCAATACTCCATCTCAAAAAAAAAAAAAAAAAAAAAAAAAAAAAACCGGAAAAAAACAGTGTTAACTAGGATGTGGAAAAATTGAAATCCTAGTGTTTCGCTGGTGGATGTAAGCTAGTGCAGTTGCCATGAAAAACACTATGGCAGTTCCTCAAAACACTAAACAGAATTACCATATGACCCTGCAATTTCACTCTTACACATATATCCAAACAAACTGAAAGCAAGGACTCAAAACAGGTATTTGTATACCAATGTTCACAGCAGCATTATACTCAAAAGTCAACAGACAGAAACATCCAAGTGTTCACTGAAAGATGAGGGGATAAATAAAATGTGGTATACATAACAGAATATTATTCAGCCATAAGAAAGAATGAAATGTTGATATACGCTACGACATGAATAGACCTTGAACACATCATGCTTAATAAAATAAGGCAAACACAGAAGGCCAAATATTGTATGATTCCACTTATATTAGGTTATCCAGAGTAGGCGAGTTCATAAAGACAGGAAGCAGAAGGGTAGTTACCACGAGTTGAAATGTGGGAGGGAATTGAGGTTTGTTGTTTAATGGGTAAAGTTTCAGTTTTACCAGATAAAGAGTCCTGAAGACTGGCTGTACAACGTAAATGTACTTAACATTATTGGGCTGTACACTTAAAAATAATTAAGATAATAGCCAGGCACAGTGGCTCACGTCTGTAATCTCAGCACTTTGGGAAGCCAACGCGGGCAGATCACTTGAGGCCAGGAGTTTGAGATCAGCCTGGCCAAGATGGTGAAACTCCGTCTCTACCAAAAATACAAAAATTAACTGGGTAGTAATGTGGTAATGTGTGCCTGTAATCCCAGCCACTCGGGAGGCTGAGGCAGGAGAATCGCTTGAACCCAGGAGGCAGAAGATGCAGATCGTCTGAGATGAGATCGTGCCATTGCACTACAGCCTGGGTGACAGAATGAGACTCCATCTCAAAAAAAAAAAAAAGTAAATTTTATGTTATATTTTGCAAGTTAAAATTTAAATTAAAAATCTATGTAACATGTGGCTGGGCATGGTTGCTCACACCTGTAATCCCAGTACTTTGGGAGGTCAGGGTAGGCGGATCACGAGGTCAGGAGTTCAAGGCCAGCCTGGCCAACATGGTGAAACCCTGTCTCTACTAAAGATACAAAAAATTAGCCAGGTGTGGTGGCACATCCCTTAATCCCAGCTACTTGGGAGGCTGAGGCAGGACAATCGCTTTAGCCTGGGAGGCAGAAGTTGCAGTGAGCCATGATCACACCACTACACTCCAGGCTGGGCGACAGGGCAAGACGCTGTCTCAAACAAATAAATAAACAAACAAACACATATTTAACATGTACAAAATAGATACACAAAGAATAAAGCAAAAAAGCAAGCATTATTTTAATCAATACTGGACAAGGTCTAAGTGAGAACAAATTAACCTACATGCAAAATTCAAGTCATACTTTATACAACTATAATAACATTACTAAAAAAGGGCGTAATGAATGGGTAAGAGTCAGAAATGATTGCCAAGTTTTAGGTACAGGAGAAATGGGGTACTACTAACAAACAAAAACCTGAAACAATGAAAAATATGTTTGAGCAAGGTAAAAGATCCTCTTGCTTTTTCGTTTAATGACTGGACATTGGGCTAAAGAACTTTCCAAATGACTAATCTAAATGCAAGTCATTAAATATTTAAATGCAAGAAAATGTATACAATTGTATGAAAGATACAAACATATAGAATACATTATCAATAGTGATTTTTATGCTTTTTCTATATTTTTAGAAAGTCAACAGTAATTGTTTATTTGAAAAGAATTGATATCATACAAACACAAAACACTCCTTATTCCTTTTTTCATAGGAAATCTAAGGAAAATGAATAACTTACGCTGCTAAGATCTGGAACAAAATTGTTCAAATTTTCCATTTCTTTCTCAATTCTCCAAGTATCACAGGAAAATGGTAACATACCATCTGTGTGCCTTCTACTGCCTCCAGCACCTACAGAATTATCTGAAAAATAAAGAAAAATCTTAAGAGAGCCACATCAAATCTGAATGATCTAACATAACTGCTTCTTGCTAGTCAAATTATTTTATGTAAACCTAATACTTAGCATTCCTATGACAAATTTAGCCATTTTCACAAAGAGAAAATAAGCAACAGTAAGAGGCAATAATATACATGATAAACTGCTACCATACAGAAAGAATTCATATTTAATTATTGATATCATCATTCATGATATTCAATCCAAGAAATACATACTGCAGTATTTCTAGTAACACTAATTTACCCAGCTATTATTAAAAGCTCTTTTGAAAAGTTTTAGACTGTCAAAAGACCTGATGGACTAGAAAGGTTAATATATGTTAAATTATACCAGAGAAATGATTTTTTGTTTTAAAAAAAGGTCAAGTCAAAACTAGAACTTAACAACAAAAGAATCATATTTCTATACTTACTAGTCCCAGGTAGACAAATAATTTGGCCTTCCTGAGAATCTCTGTAAGTTGTTTCAGAAGAGTGTGAGCCACAAGAAATCAGAGAGCTGTTATTTTCTGATTGAAACTTGCAGTTTAAGCTACTGTTTTCATTTGCCTGTTGAAAGAATATCTTAGCTGTATTACTCTTTTAAATTAAAATGAAATAATTTGAGGGAGAAATGTGGATTTACTGAAGGATGCCAGATAATAAATGTAGAAGGAATTAGAAAAATCGCCATTGTCACCAAGAAAGTAACCAATGTTTCTAAGAGGCTTCAGCAAGGATACTGAAACCAGGTAGTGGAGGGTTGTCAGAGAGTAAGATGTTCAATGGGCTCTGATATCTCATCCCACAAATGACTTATTAATAACAAAGGGGTAAAACTACCTTCACAAGGAGACATCTAGCTGACATCACCTTAGCCAAAATTATCAAACACAGTATCACCAATCATGGGAGAGACAAACGTCTCCCAGTGTGAGGCAAAGAGAAGTACACCACACTGCCTATGTTTACTATGAATCCACTCATGAGAAAACTGTTTAATGTATTCTTGCCAAAATATTTAATCTAATCTAGTCAGGAAGGAAAAAAAAAAACAGATTAGGACTGATTGAGAGTTCATGTTTCAGTTTGTGCTTACTGAGCTGGGTGTTACAGCATTGAAAACCCCTGCAGTGACCTCCCTCCTATCCTCTCTCCTCCCTCCTTCCTCCCTTTCTTCCTTTTACTTCTTCTACAATAGGCTTATCTATACTTTTTTGATAGAGGTAACCATTTGCCACACCATTTTCTGAAGAGTCTGCTCTCTTCTCATTGATTTGTGAAGAAAAAAAAAAAAAACAGATTATGGTTATTTTTCCCTCCTGACTAGATTACGGTACACTCTACAAAACAAAGGGCCTAGATTTTACAAAATAAATCACCTCATGAAAGAACTACTCCAAATTAAAAGGGAATAGAGACAGGACAACCAAAGGCAAGATTAATCTTTGATTAAATTGTAGATAACAAAACAGTAAGAATAAAGGACATTCTGGGGACAACTGGGTAAATGTGACTACGGACTGCATAGCAATTTAAATTATTATATCAAAGTTAGATAACAGAATTATGATTATGTAGGAAAATGTCCTTATGTACAAAAGATAAATGCTGAAGTAGTCAAGTGAAATGTCATACTCTCTGAGATCTACTTTCAAATGATTCAGAGAAGAAAGTATTTATGGAAAGAAAAGGAAAATGCAAAAGTGGCAAACTTTAGCAATTGGTTAACTGCAGGAAGAGGGTGTAGATGTCCATTGTGTTATTCCTTTAATTTTCTGTAGGTGAGGGAAAGACAGCAAGAGGGAAGAAAGGGTAGGCATTCCTCATCAATTCATACATGGGAAACACAGTCTAAAGAAAACCAAAAGCTTACATTTCATGTGAACATCCAATAAGACCAATAGTAATTTTCTAATGTTAAATCTCTGAAAAATCATCAAGACTGGAACATACCTGACTAAGATCACTTGTAGGTAACTTAAAACCTTTTTCTGGAGGTTCTGGTCCTTCTAGGTCTTCATACATCATTCCTGGAATTGCCAGTTGCTCAAAATAAGCCTCCAAATGATCATCATAAAACATTTCATCATCAATATCATCATCTATTGATAAATTAAGAAAAAAAACAGAATATGCCTTAGTGACTAAGCAATAATTTGTAATTAAAAAGGCTAAGACATAAATGAGTCTAAGATTTTTTTTATTTGACATGAGATAACTTGTAACTTCAGTCAACTATAAATCATTATGAAAATTTTAATACAAGGTAAATATTTAACCTCTATGAGAAGACAGAACAGAAACAGATCTTGGCATGTTATCGAAAGTTAGGATACAATAAATGTGGCATCACAGATCAATGAGAAGAGAGCAGATTCTTCAGAAAATGGTGTGGCAAATGGTTACCTCTATCAAAAAAGTATAGATAAGATTGTCGCAGGAGAAGTAAAAGGAAGAAAGCGAGGAAGGAGGGAGGACAGAGGGAAGGAGGGAGGCCACTGCAGGGGTTTTCAATGCTGTAGCACCCAGCTCAGTAAGCACAAACTAAAACATGAACTCTCATTCAGTCGTTGTCTTCTAAGTTGGCAATGCCATTTTAAAGTTCAATTTTGCAATCAACATTAAGAGTCTCAACAACATTCATCACCTTTGACCTAGCAATCTTTTCTCCAAGAACCTAGCATACTAAAGCAATCAAAGATTGGATACATTCAGGTCAATACCACAATTCAAAAATCCAAAAGAGTGAAAACTCCTTTGGCAGCAAAACCTGCTCTCCATGGATGTGATGCACACTCAGCTCATCAGACTGGCCTTCAAAGCCATGCATGACATGGCCCCAGTCTACTTTTTTGGGCTTATTTACCAATGTGGCCTCCTATAGGTCCTGTAAACTTGCCATGCAAAACCCCTGGCTGTTCCCCAAACAAAACCCACTTGCCTCACAGCTGTGCCTTTGCTGACACTTTTCCTGCTTCCTGACATGTCCTCCTCCCATATCTAAGGCCTGGCACAGGTTCCATCCTTTTTCTAGAATGCTTCAGTACCTCCCTCAACCAGAATTAATTCCTCACTCCCTACAAGCCCAGGCACATTTGGGGTCCTGTTGGGTTTATGCAACCCGATCTGACATTTGGTTCTGCACCTCCTCTCCGCACCTAAGATGTCGAAGAGCAGAGGCCAAATATTTCATGGTTCCAGCCGGGCACAGTGGCTCATGCTTAGCACTTTGGGAGGCTGAGGTGGACAGATCACTTTAAGTCAGGAATTCTAGGCCAGCCTGGCCAAATAGTGAAACCCCGTCTCTACCAAAAATACAATTAGCCAGATGTGGTGGTGCATGCCTATAATCTCAGCTACTGAGGAGGCTGAGGCAGGATAATCACTTGAACCCAGTAGCAGAGGTTTCGGTGAGCCAAAATTGTGCCACTGCACTCCAGCCCAGGTGACAGAGTGAGAACCCATCTCAACCAAAAAAAAAAAAAAAAAAATTTCATGGTTCCCCCAATTTCTAAACACAGTGCTGTATACTGAATGGTACCTCCAAGTGCCATTTGTACCCTAACAATGTTAAACTGAGGGATGAGTATATCAGGACAGATATACAGAAATAAATTCTTGAATTCCATCACTTAATAGAAGTGGCCATTTGAGTGCTGGCAGGTAGGAAGAAAAGGGAAGGACCAAAGAAAACCCTAAAAATTTGGCATCATAACCACTGCAACAAAGAAGAATAAAGTGGAGTGGCAAGGTGAAGACCAGGGAAATGCAGGTTACTCTGTCATACCAGAAGAATCTTCCAAGCTTGTCGGTAGCATAAGTTTCTCATTTTCTAATAAGCTAGTGTGGCTTAAGTCACTGTTTAGAGTCTTGTCTTCAAAATGTTTTCCAGCATCAAGCACAATAATCTATAAGAAACAAAATGGCAAGTAAGAGAAGCACACACTCACTCAGGGCTCTGAAGAGTACAGTACAAGGCCACAAAAAGGGCCAAGTATGTTCTCAAACTCCAGTATGTTTAGTATCTATAAATCACAGCTTAGGCAATGAAGGGCTAGTAATTGTACATGTATTAATAACATTCCTTCCCCCCATGCCACCTCCCTCACCTGACCTACCAACGGGACATCCTTAAAACTTATGGCTTCTCTCAAACTGTGTGCACATGCTTAGAGAGGCTCATAATATATTAAGTACACAAATATATAACTGAACTTGAGCAACACAAGGCTTACAAAAAAGAGCAAACCTGGATCCAGCAGCCTGTAACTAAGGAACTCTTTGCACCATTACATTGGAATAATCAATTTCTCTGCTCCTCAACCAGGAAAGAACATGTAACCCTAAAGAGCATGCAGCCATTTACTAAGGATACTCAAGGTCCAGAAGGGAAACGTAACATTTCCCAAGTGTGATTATATTTCATTATATGTTACATATACATAAATAACACCAGCATAGGAAGTACATTGCAAAATACACACTAATTTTTAAGACAGAAACATGGTCTCTCAATCCAATTTTACATTTAGAGAGGACACTGCTGAGCTATTCTCAAAAATATCTAACCACTGGGGCACCAAGGACTACTATAATCCACTGTTATTTAAAATAGATGATCACTTAGAATATGGCAAATGTTAACAGTTGTGCAATACAAGCTCTGTGCTTTGAAAAGTCTTTATAATAGAGAACTGGGAAAAAATCTATATGGGAAAGAACAGTATGTAAAATGTCCCTGTCTTTTTGGTCATGTTGGCTACTGAGAATGCCATGTACTCTGCCATGCCTGGTCCCTGGAAAATGTCTCCATTCTGATAAAGTGGCATAGTTTCACAGATGAGACGAGACCTACATGTAGTAGCAGCTCCCTTCTCTCTGTTTTCTAACACATTTATTTTCCCCTATTCTCATTTCTTCCTCTTTTTAATCAAGCAACTCAAGTTTCTATACTTTTGTTGCTTTCCAGTTTTACTGTCCCTTATATTATTAATTTCAAAAATTAATTGAATTAATTTCAACTTCACTACATCTGAACTTCCTCTAAAAAGCATCTCTCACACTTGAAACTTACTAGGGGTCACATACAGGGTGAGTACATAGGGGAGGGTCAACAAACATTTTGTGGGAGGGCCAGATAATAAATACTTCACGCTTTATGGGCTGTACAATCTCGGTCACAACTTCTCAACTTCATTGTTGTAGCACAAGTAACAGCCATAAACAAAACATACACACAAATGGGCATGACTGTATTTCAATAAAACTTTGCAAAAACAGGCAGCAGACTGGATGTAGGCCTTAAGCTATGGTTTGCCAATCGCTGGCACAGGGAAGTAACTTTTACTTTAGACGCTTTTGCAATCATTCTATAAAAACAATCTTTACAACTCTCATAAAAGTAAAATAAACAAAAAGTATATCTCTTTTTTATAAGTTTTAGCAATATTTAGTTTGTATTTTATAAATAAGTCTCATAAATTCATGACTGCACGCCTGAAATCCAGGTTTGGTGGTAATGTTGGGCATAAACTATCTTCTCAGCATCTTTCCTTTGAAGAGCCCATCCTTTATACTTCACATGGTTCAGTGGGGTTGTCACCTGCATTCCTCTATCTGTGCATGTATACACACTCATATACAAGCACACACACAGAAGTAGACATTAGATCCAGGTTCATCCCAACCCACCCCTTTGCACAGTGGTTTGCACAGTGATATGCATATGAGCCAAATGAACTCATTAGACCTGTGTTTTTTTCACTTCTTTTCTGATCACAAGTGTTAAGAGTATAGGGTTGTGTTGCCAACAAATGAAGACAGCTTGCCTATCATTTAACAAATTATTAAGTGACAACTAAGGACTGAGAACCATTCCATCATTCCAGACACTCAGGCTACAATGAAACACCACACACACACACACACACACACACACACACACACACCCA